TCCGCTCTCCCTGGCCTCGGCTCTCCCCGGCCTCGGCCCCCGCTCTCCACGGCTGCATCCGCAGCGCAGCCGTCGCTTCCCCGCTGCGTCGCCGCGGCCGGCCCTGTGGCTGGCGCTGCGCTGACTGGTGTCGGTGCCGTCGGAGTTCAGCGGGTGGCGTTGCTCGGTGGGGAGGCTGGGAGAGGCCACACGGGGTCTCGCTCCCCAGATGCTGCGGGCGGTGGAGAGACGGAGCTGCCTGGTGCCGGTGGCCGTGACCTGATGGCTCCATTCAGAGGCCTCACTACGCCTTGGCGACCCCGGGTGGATGCCGGGCACTGTGTACCCGGGACACCGGAAAGGGCGGTGGGCCAAATAAGCACAACCTCCACCCTCACGGAGGGGAGTCGAGTCAGAGGGAAGTTGGCGCATTGCTATGTTAGTCAGATGATCTGAGTACAAAACCAGAGTCAAGTCAATTGCTACCAACGAGGTAAGTGGATGTCGAGGGGAAACCCTCCTGTTAGACTGAACACAGACTTGTATAAGAAGACCTGAATTTGTGGCGTTAGACTGAACACAGACTTGTATAAGAAGACCTGAATTTGTGGCGTGGATGCTTTTCCTGCTTCTCTTCACCAAATGCCGGTAGGCATCAATCCTGTTAAAACGGTGAATGGGTAGAATGGCCCCTTTCTCTCCGCAGAGCTCGTAGACAAATGCATAGGATCAAGAATTCACATAGTGATGAAGAGTGACAAGGAAATTGTTGGCACACTTCTCGGATTCGACGACTTTGTCAATATCCTTTTAAAACCTAGTGACCAGGTGGCAATGGCTCACGCCTGTAAGGCTAGCCATTCAGGAGGCTGAGATCTGAGGAGCACAATTTGAAGCCAGCCTGGGCAGGAAAATCTGTGAGATGCGTGAATAACCACTAAAAAGCCATAAGTGGAGCTGTGACTGCACTCTTAAGAGTGTTAGGTTTGAGTGAAAAAAGCCAAGGAACAGTGGCTAAGCCCTGAGTTCAAGCCACAGAAGCTAGAGTAAATTCAACCTGGTGTATTTATTTTCTTAACACCAAATTTTAGATATGGTGCTGGAAGATGTCACAGAATTGTGAGTAGTAGTAAAAACTCATTAGGTGGGGCTGGGAAGGTGGCTCAGTGGTAGAGCGCTTGCCTTGCATGCCTGAGGCCCTGGGTTCGATTCCTCAGCACCACATAAGCAAAAAGGAAAAAGACGGAAGTGGCGCTGTGGCTCAAGTGGTAGAGTGCTAGCCTTGAGCTGAAGAGCTCAGGGACAGCGCCCAGGCCCAGAGTTCAGGCCCCACAACCGGACCCCAAAAAAACTCATTAGGTGGGGGAGGAGGGGTACTGTCACCTTCCTTAAAAGCAGTTTTAGTATGTTTCTTAAGGAAATGATGGATGAGAAATGATTATCTGTCAGAATTACTTTAAAGACAAAGTATTTACTGATGCTTGTAAAATTGCATTAGAAAGTGATCACCTTGGAAACAAAGGAGGAGGCAACAACGTTTGATAAGAAATGCACTCATTTCCTTGCTCATGTAATTGTAACCACTCTATATGGTATTTTTGCAATAAAAAGCTTACTAATTAAAAAAAAGAAAGTGATCACCCTAGTGTTTTTATTAGTAAATTCTTAGGACATTAGTACAGACAAAGCTTTAAGGTAAAAGGTGCAGAACACAGCTAACAATGTTAAGGCTCGGGTTAAATCAAGGAACTGATGAGAGTATTTGATGTGATGGCTCAGTTATTCTCATTACAAAGATCATGACCAATATCTTTTCTTAAAACTGAGTTGATTACAGATGCTTAAGTGGAGGAGTGGGAAGTAGTAGGTGTGTTTTATTCATTTTTGGTTTCTTTGGCAAGTTTGTTTCTCTTTATAAAGGAGCTTCAGTAGTGTGGATTTTAGGCCAGTCAGTCCTTTTTTGCCTCTAATGAAGAGTGGACAGTTTTTGTCTCTGAAAACTACTAATACAATGCTTGACCTCACATTCATTTTATAACAAGAATAATCTACTGGGGATTGAATCCAGGACCTTGTAGATGCTAAGACTGTGCTCTTAACCCCAACCTAGTTGTTAGAATAACTTTTGATGAAAAATATTTCTGAAATGTTGGCTTTGATTTCATCCTGACTCTGTTTAATCTGTTCACTAGTGAAATCACACCAGAAGGAAGACGGATTACTAAATTGGATCAGATATTGCTGAATGGAAATAATATAACCATGGTAAGACACAATATGCTTATGCTGTTTTACTTAGATGTCGGCTCATTTTGGGAGGCAGGGATTCTAAAAGCAATGTTTGCTTCCCTGAACACTGGTGGACTGTAGTGCTTAAGATGGGAGAGGGGTTCTCGTTGGTCACACCTAAAGCAGCTGTTGAATAGGCATTAGCCTTGAGGGTAGAAACAGAAGCTGGGGGAATGGAGGAAGGGGTGACATTGACCAGGAAGCTTTGTACTCATAACCTGACTTACAGAATTGTAACCCTTTGTATGACTACTTAATAATAAAGAAAGGCATTTGGCCTAAAGTTGCGTTTGCTTGGGTTTTTTAATCTTTTGTCAGGAGTCATTGTTAAACACAGGTAACCCTTGGTGAGGGAATTGAATATAGATACCGATGACCAGACAGACTGGGAACTATGAGGGTGGGCCAGGGCAAAGGTGGTTTGTTGGTTACTAACGTGGATAGCATCAGTAACTGTCATTAGCATTAATAACATGGTGGTGTTACTAATGAATTTTTTTCCCTCATTCAGCTGGTTCCTGGAGGAGAAGGACCTGAAGTATGAATGATTTCCTTGGCTTACCTAGATTCTGTTTTGTCTTATAATGGCAAGCAAATGGGATTTTTTTAATCCTTTAATGTTTATATTTTAAAATGCTGTTTCCCGTTGAAGGGAAATGGTGTGACAGTGTATCATATGCCATTTTTCTAAGTTAATCATGAGTACCTTGGTAAAAGAAGAATTTGCTTTTTGAAGATTACAAAATAAAGATGTTTTTGGTTACTGTCTGTGGCATGTATTCATTGAAGTGATGGTGGCCAGAGGCTCTCGTTACTACTGTACCTGGCTCATGTCGTTAACCTGCTGTGGCATGTATTACACTGAAGCAGTGGAGGACAGAGGCTCTGGTTACTGCCCCTGGCTCGTGTTGCTTATGTTTGCTTCTTCACTTACTGACTTGTCAGTAGTTGTTCAGACAAATGATGGACTTGGATTTTGAACAGATGTGTTTAGAAAACCTGACAAGATTACTTAGAAAATTCAGTTCAAACTGATGTTTTGTAATAGCTATTTGATTGACTTGATTTAGTTAAAGACACGGAATGCAGGTGAGCAGAAGGAAAAGCAGTTGTTGCACTTTGTATTGCATTAGACCTTTCAAGTACATGTTACTGTGCCTGTAGTCATAGAGAAATGCTCCTGAATATTTAGCCTCCATGTAAATACTTTTGAGTATAAGTGGTAAATTGTCCATATATCTAAAATACTTCAACATTTTTAGGTACATACTATTTGATTAAGTGGATTTACTATAAATTATTTAGTCTGTTCTTGTGGCGAGAGTAGTCAGTCACTAACATATTTTTATTTTTCTTAGAATAAATTCAAAAGCACATATATCAAAGGCATGATTTGTCCTGTTGTCAGCAGGAGGCTTGTACTCACCTGCCCCCTGCAGCATCGTCCACAGTACCGGCTGCAAATTGGCCATCACCCGCCATGTTCTCCCTCTCTCCTCTGCACCTGTGATAAGGAAATCCTAATACCAGGTTTTCTTTTAGTTTGAGCCCATTGAGATTTTATGAATCATACAGGGCTTTTAACTTTTTGTTGAGATGAAATTAGTTCAGGCTAGCCTCAAACTCATTAATTGTTCCTTAGCCTAGGAGTGCTAGGGTTGCCTCCAACAAGTGAAAAACAACACAAGCCACAGGTTTGTAATACATATTTTGTTTACATAGTGTAAATACAGATTTCAACCTGCCAGGAATTACCAAAGAAAAAGATTTAGCTCTAGTTTGAGGAGTAAGAGCAGGTTACAGCAGCTACCACTGACTTGCTAGGAGGAATACTTTGCTCTTTCTGTTCCCCTTTGAGGGGAACACAGATGATGTCATGGTGGCCTCCCCTCTTCTCTCCACCAGGGAAGCAGGGTGGTCAGTTCAACTCTTACTTTCTTTTTCCTTTTTTTTTTGGGGGGGGGGTGTCTGGTCGTGGGGCCTGAACTCTGGGCCTGGGCGCTGTCCCTGAGCTCTTCAGCTCAAGGCTAGCACTCTACCACTTGAGCCACAGCGCCACTTCCGGCTTTTTTTCTTTCTTTCTTTTTTTTGCTTATGTGGTGCTAAGGAATCAAACCCAGGGTCTCATGCATGCAAGGCAAGCGCTGTACCACTGAGCCACCTTCCCAGCCCATCAACTCTTAACTTTCTTTCCTTAGGAGTTAGTGACCTACAGGGAACTTGTGTTCCTAGCTTCACTAGTGGCTATAGTAGCAAGAGAGGCCATTTGTCCACAGATTAGTCAGGGCCTAAGTCTAGTCTTAGATTAGGTGGTGGTTTTACTCTTGCTTACACTTGTGTCTGCAGTTTGTTTACAGACTATTAGTGTCTCAGCCTTGGTGCTGTTGACATTTTTCTGGTTAATTCTCAGTTGAGGATATCTGCATTGTTGGAATTCTAGCAGCTTCTGTGATTCAGTAAAATCCTTTACCCCCTTCCAGCAGTGACAGAACTGTCTCCAGACACAGACAAGTGTCCTTTGATGTCAGGATGCCACCCTGGTTGGGAACAATTGTTCTAAGTAATAAGGATACTATGTACTGGGCCCTCCAAAATCCTCTATTATTTACTCATGAACCAAGAAAGCATTGGGTCAGAAAATACCGTGAACTGGCACTTCTAGCTTGGAGAAGCACTCAGGAACACAGAAGCCACACTTGGGAAATTTTCATCCACCCTGACAATGGTTAATATTAGTGTTTCATTGAATTTAGAAAAGTGATACATGATATCGATTGGCCACCCAAGGGCACTGTGGAATTAGACAGTTGCTGGAGCTGTGCCTTGGTTCTGCAGACCCCAGTGGAACTCAGATTTCTTTGAGTGGTACTGAGGTTTGAACTGAGGGACTCAACACTTGCTAGGGTAACACACTACCATGGAGTCATACCTCTAACCCTTAGAACTCAGGTTTCTGAGCACCTATCCTTTCTTCCTACTACTGGGTCATAGGACCCAGACAGATAAAGATCTGGACCCACCATCTCACACTTTTTTAAAAGGCAAATATATTTTTCATTCATATAATCCAGTGTGTGTGTGTGTGTAGGTTTCTGAGCACCTATCCTTTCTTCCTACTACTGGGTCATAGGACCCAGACAGATAAAGATCTGGACCCACCATCTCACACTTTTTTAAAAGGCAAATATATTTTTCATTCATATAATCCAGTGTGTGTGTGTGTGTGTGTGTGTGTGTGTGTGTGTGTGGTGTTGGTCATGGCTCTTGAACTCTAGGCCTGGGTTCTGTCCCTGAGCCTTTCAGTTCAAGGCTAGTGCTCTACCATTTGAACTACAGCGCCACTTCCATTTTTCTGGTGTTTAATTGGAGATAAGAGTCTCACGTACATTCCTGCCCTGGCTGACTTTGAACCGCGATCCTCAGATCTCAGCCTCCTGAGTAGGGTTATGCGGGGAGCCGGGGCGAACGCCATTACAAGATGGCACCTGATAACGGTATAGAACGACCAGTGGAGTCCCCAGCCAATCCCGTGGCACCTGATAACGGTAAAGGGCAAACGACCAATGATAGAACGACCCGTGTTCTTTTTTCCCTATATAAGCGGCCACATTTTTGTACACGGGGTCTCTCGCTCAAGCTCTCCCATTAACTAAAAAGCTCTCCAGTAAAGTGTGATTTGAGAAGACTCCTGGTGTGGTGGTCGTTTTACTCGCTGGCTGAGAAGGCGTTCGCCGCAGGGTTACAAGTGTGAGCCACCAGCACCCGGCCATTTTGTGTTCTATGTGAGACACCTTTACCATGAAATACTGTCTTCAGTGTTTGTCTTCATATGTGAGCTCTAGAGTCAGACCCATGGGCCCCAGTCCTATTAACATTTGTTACTTGTGATTTTGATTGAGCTGCTTAACCCTGCTCACCTCTTTTTCATGATCTGAATGTAATAAAGAATAACCACCTTTTAGGGTTGAGGAAATCACATATGTAAACTTCCATCATGGCGTCAGTTACATGGCAAGTGTTCAGTGAGTAGTTATATATTATTTTTATTACAGGGTCTCTGAATCAATCTTTAAAAAAAAGTTATCTGGCCTCAGATATTCTATTATAGCAGCACAAAGTAGTAGAAAGATAATCAGGAAATCTGAGTTTGTCACCAAGTGGCTGTGTGGTCTAAAGTGAGTCACTCCTTTAAGATTTGAAGCTTCGTTTCCTCCAAAGCAAGATTGAGCAGAGTGCTGGTAGCTCACATCTGTAATCCTAGATACTCAGGAGGCTGAGATTTAAGAATCTTAGTTTGAAACCAGCCTGCGTTGGGGGAAGAGGAGGAAGAGGAGGAAGAAGAAGAGAAGAAGAGGCAGAAAGGAGGAGGAAGAGGAAGAAGGAGGAGGAGGAAGAGGAGAAGAAAGAAGAAAAAGAAGACGAAGAAGAAGAAAGGCAGAAGTGGAGCTGTGCCTCCAGTAAATGGTAGAGTGCTAGCCTTGAGCAAAAGAAGCCCGGGGACAGAGCCAGGTCTTGAGTTCTAGCCCCAGGACTGGGGGTGTGGGGGTGTGTGGGGGGGAAATAAAAAGAACCTTGGCAGCCTAGGGGAAGGTTATGGCAGAGTGACTCAGGTATGTGCGTGGTCAGCACTCTGGAAAGGATTCCACTTACTTCCTTTCAAGCATTTTCTTTTCTCTCATAATTGCTGCTTCTTGGACCACAGACCACTGACACTTCCTCCTAACTACCCTGTTGTCATGGCTTTTCACAGCTTCGCGGTTAGCATCTCATGAGGATAGCAAGAAATGGGGAGGCCCTTATTTTTTTCTTCTACTGAATTGTCTGGAGAGCATCTCTGGGCAATTGCAGCTGGAAGTGTGACATTTAATTAGTAGAGAGAATTGTCAGGCAAGAGGCAGCTTGTGCCACCAACAGGGTGACAAGGGGCTAGAGCAGCCTGCCCAGGTGGAGTGTGCACAGCCCAAGGTGGGAGCTGCAGAAGCTTAAGGAGTTTTCCACTGTGAGCAAAACCACAAATGGGACCTCAGATACCCTCGTGTCTTCTGTCCCACTTGACATTGATGGGTTTTTTTTTGGAGGGGGGGTTTTGGAGTTTGAACTGGGAATCTTAAACTTTGCCTGGAGGTACTCTATCACTTGAGTCATGCCTCCAACCCAGAAAAGGTCTACCTTTAAATGAAAGTCAAAACTCAAAAAGAAAAGGAGAAAAATTGCAAGCTGAGATTGCTAAGATCTACTAAGAATGAATCCTCCATGAAGTTGTGCAGAAGAAATAAAAAACTTGATTGCTTTTATTGTTATACTTCAAACTGTTAAAGTTACAGCTCCAATGTGTGTAGAAACAAGTATACTGTCCAGAAGGTTTGGGACCACCTGGACCTTCAGGAGATTCTGGAAAACCCCAGGGATGAGGGTAACTACTGTATGATGTTCAAACCATATGAATTAAAAATGTGTTAAGGCCATAGAGTGAAGTGAAAATCAGACAGTAGAAGAACAATGCTCTCTAAAAAAATGCTGTCAAGTGTTGTTGGCTCACACAATAATCCCAGCTAATTAGGAGGCTGAGATCTGAGGACTGAACCCAGTCCAGATAGCAAAGTATGTGAGACCATTACCTCCAATTAACTACCAAAAACTGGAAATGGTGCTTTGGCTCAAGCAATAGAGCACTTAGCCTTGAGCACAAAAGTTCAGGGACAGTGCCCAAGCCCTGAGTTCAAGCCCCAGGACACAAACCACACACACACACACACACTACTCTCT